AAAAGAAAATAAAAAGTACAAGTTAAATTTAAAAGGAAATTTTACCTCATTTTAGTAATAAAATCTAAAAAAAAAAACTATTAGTATATCAAATAATAAGAATTTTTAGTTAAAACTAAATTGAAGTAATTGGTTGATGCATTAAAAAAAAAAGGCATTGAATGAGAAGGATGAAGAGAAAAAAGATGATAGATTGTCAACAAAAATGATAATGGAATAAGTATAAATGAATAATGAAATAAAAGTAGAGATATTTGCAAAAACAAAAATGGGAGAATATACAAGATGAAAGAAAAAAAGGAAACAGAAATTAAAATGAGAGGAACTTGAAAGAAAAAATGGGATATTTTACCTGTGGAAAAGAATGAGAAGTGAAGAGAAAACCAAAAATGAAAAGGAGAAGGCAACAGTATGTTCTGGTTTTAGAGCCCTTATATAGTCAAGATATATTCGACAGAAATTATGTCGATTATGTTTCAAATTTAATTAGTCGAGACATTTAATTTTTTTGGGTTGAATGGGTAGGATTTGAATATAATCGACAGCCAATGGCTATCAATTATAAATATAATCGACAACCAATGGCTATCAATTATAAATATAACCAACAGCCATGACTATTGATTATAGGTTCTGTTTTTATTTATTTATTTATTTAAACTAATGTGTTATTTCTTTAAATTAATGTTAAGTAGATTTTAATTATCTTATCAAGAGGTTTGGTTTATCTAGTTCTCCCCCCTTTTTTTTGGGTTTTTTTTGCTTAGTTTTTTTTATTGATTATTCTGTAAAATTTTTGGTTTTAAAGTTACAAAGAATCAATTTTTTTAGGGCTTGTACTACTAGACATTTGATATTTTGTTATTATATATACAAAAATATATAGATAATATTAATAAAAAATAATCCAACATTTGATAATGTTAAATTTTTATTATCAAATTTATAATTTATAATATATGTAATAATTATAAATGGTACCGATGAAAGGTTAGATATTAACATATATATATATTTATAAAATTTTGACATAAGTATAACGACAGCCATTGGCTGTCAAATATGAGTGTAAAAATTTTATAAATATATGTGTTAGTATTTAATCTTCCACTAGTAACATTTATAAATATTATATATCTCGTAAATAATAAATTTAGTAATAAAAATTTAATAT